TGAAGCATTCCTATGTTCTTTTTCTGAAAGTGTTAAGTATCATGAATTTAACCCTGTTTTTTTCCCCTGAGTTTACCTGAAGGTCATTTCTGGTTTTAGAGATTAAAATCTAGGTAAACTAACCTTTGGATGGGGAAGAACTTCTGTGAACATTTTAAATTCTAGGAAAGAAGATTTCACACTAATCTCCTTATCATCATCTTTTCTTTTCCACAAGGGTAAATTACAGGTCCGACTTTGTCTCGAGACATCACTGTCTAATACAAAGTATTAGACAGAAAATAAATATATCTCATATTATGAGTGTTTGGATTCAACTTGTACATTTAATTTATAGTGACATAAATTACAGTGCTCAATATATCCTTGAAAATTTAATTATAATATATGATGTTTTAACCTAGAATAAGAGGCAAAAAACTGATCTATGGAATTTTTTGGGCATATTTACAGTGAAATTTCTAACCAAGGATGCATACTTAGGGTGTTGTTATTTCTTAGTAATTTTTCTTTTTGATCATTTCTTGGTTATGGACCTATTAAGGGGATCATAGTCACACAGTGCACATGGAGCTGCTTTTATGTATATTCCTCCTTCTATTCAGAATGCCTTTCCTGAGGATCTTATTAATGCATCATAACTTAAATTTTGCTTTCACATTGAGCCTTTTTTTTTTTTTACTTATACATGCTAGCGTGTTTAGTAATGTCAGAGTGCTTCAGATTGTCAACAATTCTAAAATTCTAATTAAAATTCACTTTACCAGGCCCCTAGCTAACTTTACACATTCCACCTTCTACTAGTCTCCTTTGTGTTCATTTTTTTTTTTTAATTTATGCATACAAGAACTGGAGCATAGGCCAGAGGTTCTGGGAGGTGGGGAGAGGACTCACCAGAGACTGGGAGGGGAGGGTAGCAAAACAGGTGGATCTACTGAAATGCACTGCTAAGGGGAGCAGAGGGTGAGACAGGAGATGTCCACTGTACCATGTGAGTTAGCTTCCTGGCCGAGGATGGAACTCATGCTGCAGTGGCTGGCAATATCTTGATAGTGCTGAGACTTAACCCCTTGCATCACCAGGGAGGCCCATGCTCATCTTTTTTTGTCAACTTCTTTCATGTTCCCAGGATGCATGCCGGAGACCCTTCCCCCAAATTTCTGCAGCTGGCTTCCTCACTTTCTTCAGGACTCTTCTCAAATATCATCAACTCAGAGGCCCTTCCTTGATGATCACACTCCCTTATTCTTCTTGATCCAGTCTTATTTCTTCTCACTAAGTGGAATTGTGTATAGATGTGTTTGGTATGTGACTCTTATGAGCATGTAAACTCTAGTAGACCCTATCTATTTTCTTCATTAGTACTGTCACATTGCCCGAAACAGTGTTTGCCTTAAGGCTGATATTCTATAATAATTAGTTGTTGAATTAATTAATTAATCTTTTTCTTATTATCTTTTCCTCCCACTAAATTCTCAAAGTCCATAAAAGCAACAACTTCCTTTCTGATATTCATGTAGCATCTTGTATATAGTAGGTAAAAAGTGGATATTTGTTGTTTGAATGGATTGTGTGTTTGTGTGTGAGTGTGTGTCTACCAGTTTGCTCAAATTACCATAAGATTAGAATTATGCCTTTAGCTCACCAATTTGTATATCAGTCCCATAGTGATGTCTGTCTTATAGCAGGCACACAATAGGTAAATGAAGAACCTCAAGGACTGGGACCAGAGGGAGCAGGGGAAGCAACTCTGGCCCTCACCACCCAGAGGCTTCCACGGGGTTAATCTGAGGTGTCAATGGCAAGAGGAAAGAGTTGGGGATTTGCAGAGTTGTGAAAACCTTAAGTCACTCCTTTCATCTTTTTAGGGCCCAGACTGGTCCTGGCAAAATCTTGCTCCCCAGACAAACCCAAGAAGCTAGTCCCAACTTCAAAGCACCTTATTTTCATATAGTATGGTTTGAATTCTGAGAGAAATAAATCTTAATTTCAATCCAGGTCTTTGATTTGTTTGCTGAAAATCTTTCTCCTGAAGATTCCATATGAATTACTTTGTGGTGCCAAAGAACTTTGGACAAGAAGAATTAGATATTAGCATAATAGCTTCCACTAGCTAGCAGCATAACCACAAGAACATTCGTTATAAAAACTGCGTTCATGATTTTCATTTGAAAAATGAATATATTAGAAAAGAATTAACATTCTCGGATTATGGACTACATATTCAGGTTTGCTGAGATTCCTGTTGGGAGGATCCATCAAGCTTCTTCTTTCCTTCCTCTACCCATTTGTCACAATCCTCCTTGGTGAGCTGTGGTTACTGATCAGAATCCATCCAGTGTACAGGGGTAAAGAACAATGGAGAACTGTAGGCCTAGGACCGCCCTGCCATTCTTCCTAGAGCCACAATGCTGTCGGTCCAGGAACTACACTTAGATACCAAATCTCTGTATGCTACCATTGCTTAAGTTACTACAGTCCTTAGTTCACTTACAATAATCTACCTTAACTTTTGACCTTTCCTTTGAGTTGGGGACTAGTCTGAGCAGGCCTTGGGAATACCAAGGTGAATTTAGAAATGGTGCTGTCCTCTACGAGTTCCATTCAATGAAGAGTCAGATGCAACAGAGCACAAAAAAAAAAAAATGTTTTGATAGAGCCAACACAAAGGATAACCTCACAGCACAATCCAGGGTGCCAAAAGAAACTAGGAAAGGGGGTGTTCTGGGACATCTTCCAATAGGTGACCAAAAACAGAGTCCTGGTTTGAATTAATCAAAATGTAGACTGTTAAAGCTATACCATGTCAGACTTATCTCATCCAAACCCCAATAAGAGGGGAACCACCCATGAAAAGTAAATATCAGAGTTACAACTAGGAGCCAGATAAGTGTGACTGGGATACCTCTTTAAAACATTTATTTTTGTGTGAAATTTCTCAGATCTCTTTCATCAGTTGAAACATGCAATTAATTCATATTTTAATGAGGAAGAGAGAAAACATTTATATATTGACTGCATACACAGCAATAATGTCAATAACCCATCATTCATAAATTTTAGATTTTGCAGTGAGCTGCTGGTGAATTTATTCAGTTACAACTCACCTCGCTTGCCTATGGATCAACTCACATTGGGAAGAACAGGAATAGTCTGGCTGTGAACAAGAACAAAGTTGAAGAAAATCGCTGCCTGATTGCATTTCCTCTCAATGACTGAGCTAAGCATCTAAGGGCTAGAGTAAAACCCCAAAAGTAAAATATTTTGAGTAGTAGTAGTGTATACGTTTGCTCAAATATGCGATTTTCTTGGAGTTTCTTTCCTCCTTAACCTAGTCTTTTTGCTTAGGATGTTAAAAGGCTGTTTTAATAATGAACAATATAAAAGAACATTACACTAAAATAGAAACGTTTGCAAAATCCATAATTTCTAATAGCTTGCCATTTGTTTAGCTCCTACTGGCAATGGATTTATCCTATTTAGTGCAGATGATGATACTGGATGAAATCATGTGTTATACAATGGATTTCTGAGCTCTTTAACTACTGTTATTAATTTACTGGCTTGCAAATCCACATTTCTCAACATAAAATCAATGCTTTTTTATCTTTCAACTTTTACCCCAATAAGGTTGCCATGGGCACCACACATCTGTTCCGGTGCCAACAGATTGCGTTAAAGTCACTCACAATCTCTCCAAATTAAAAACCTCACTGAGTTCTCTGGCATTTTCACTGTCCTCGCCTCAGGATGCTCTTTTCCCGTGCCCCACAGTCCAGTTTAATCTGCTAGAAAGAATATTTTTAGAGGTACATCGGACTAAATCATTTTCGTCTGAGCAAACCATTTCCAAATGGCCGCCCAGGGTCCTAAATCCGGCTGCTGCTGTGGACGGGGACAAGCAGGTGCCCTCCGCTGCAGAGTCGTGGCACCGGAGCGCATTCATAACTGGACGTCAGAAACCAGAAAGAAAACCCGAGCACACAGGGACAGGTATAACCCCGCACCGTGCACCAGAGAGGCCCCAATCCAAGCGGGGGGACTCCATTCTTAGGCTTGGGGAGATGCTGGGGAACGGGCGAACGCTGCTTCCCCATTCAAGTCAAAGAGCAGGACGCACAGGGTCGCAGGTCAGAAGTTGCATTTCAACCCAGCCTGCGCTGCGTCCCCGCGCTTTCCGCAGCTGGGGCACCGCGGTGGCACCGGAATAGGGGAGGATGAGGCTGACTGGGGCTGGAGAAACTGAGTTGCCACTGCCTTGGAGCTGTCGGTGGCGAGCGCAAACGCGACTCCCGCCGCCTTCCGAGGACGCAGCCGGGGAGAACCTGGATCCTCAGTCACGACGCCGCGCCCCGAGCCCGACAGGGCTGCCCAGCTTGGCGCTGCCCTTTCGGCCGAGGACAGCTCCCCGCCGCGGCAGCCCCGCCGCCGTGCGCCCCGGCACAGGCCACCCCTCCGTGCGCCTTGTCCGCCCCCGGGCGGCTGCCTGGGCACCCGCAGCTGGACCGACCATCGCCCCCCGGGCGCCGGGACAAACTTCATTCTTCTTGGGCCCCCCGGCTCTGGCTACTGCCAGGCGGCTCCTCGCCCGGCTTCCCGGGTCTCCGGCTGCAGGCGCCCTCACCCGGCGCGGCGAGCCTCCTCCTTGCCCCTCTCCAAGCGCGAGTCCCAGGCTCCTAGCGGTCCCCGCGCATCCGCTTCAACAAAGCCGGCGGCCGAGAGGCGACCCGGGGAGCCACTGGGAGTGGCGGCCGGGGCGCCGGAGCCGGGAGAAGGCACCTCTTGGCCCGGCGAGCGCGCCGTGCAGGGGCAGAGCGGACGTGGCGGGCGCAGAAAGGGGAAGAAAGTGTCCTGCTCTCTGCGCGAACGCCTTCTCCGCCCGTCCTCTCTCGCCCTGCTGCCCCTGCCCGAGCGCGCCGGGCTGTCCCGGTGGGAGTTGGCGGGGGCTTCTGCGCGGGCAGGGGGAGCGCAGTGGCCCGGCGGGCGGGCCGCTTCCTTACCTCTGTCCAGAGTGAGCGGCTGGACCACTGTCAATGTCGCCATGTCTGCCGTGGGAGCCGAAGTGACGCTCGGCTTCAGCATCAGCAAGCGCTTGTAGTGAGAAAAAGAGGAGCTTGGGGGCGGGGGTGGAGAGGGAAGAGGAGAGGAGGGGGAGGGGAGAAGGTGGGAAGGTGGTGGTGGTGGAGAGGCGTGGAGAGGAAAGCTTGGGTGGGTTGGCAGCCAGTTGGAGACGCCCCTGTTCCTGGGCGGGCAGACCTTCAGATTCCGCGTGAGGCTGAGCAGGTATCAGGTATCGGGGAGCGACAGCATCTCCAGCCCTGGGAACCGAGGCTCTGCCCTAGAACTTTGCAATGCCACCCCTGCAGCGCTGGATGGGTGTCGCTGGCTGCTCGCTGTCTTTCAACTTTCCATTCAAATAAAACGGCCAGAACACACACAGGTCTGGGGGATGGGGGATCGCAGATGAATTTTCAGATTAGCAGAGATCTTCAACTCAGTAATCCCATCCCCTTGGTAGAGAACATGCTGTGAGTGTCAGAAATGTTGAGGTTTTAATTACAGTTGCTGTTAATTTCTGTTAAAGTTTTTGGAATGTTGACTTGTAACAGTGTACGATGTAACTGACTTAAGACCAGGGTTCCATCTTTGGGTGTCAGCAAAAGGACCTCAGTACATTGCTTAGAAAATAACTTACCTTAAAACTTCTTAAAATAGTTTTAAATAAAATTGCACAAAAAGAACTTTCTATCATTATTTGAAAACATGAACCTAGCATTTTTTTTCCATAAAGCAGTTATAGGTTGATCTATAAACAGTGATTACTCAGATGCCACTGAATAATTAAATAACATGTGTGCCAAGAATTGAACCGAGTGTAACGGGCCGTGTGGCCTTCTGTAACTTAGGGGTTCAATATACTTCTGCCTTCCTGTAGCCTGTAATCTAGTGGGAAATGATTTTATTAAAAGGGTGACTTTGGGGTCAGTTGATCAAGTTTCAGTAATCAGAATCTTCAACTTCTGGCTGTGACCCCAACAGATAGCTTTCACTCTGGCTCTGCTGTAGTCACTCCTTTACCAGACAATTTTTTAAGGAGCATGGAGGAATTTTGAATATGCTCAATGATGATGACTGTGGGCTCAATATGGGAAATGACAAAGTTGTCTCCATTCATTCACTTCCATGTAACAGAACAGAATTTTTTAAAACTAATAATAAACTCTTAAATGCAACTTTTTCATAGCAAAATATCTGCACATGTTTTGTCATTGTCTTCTGATTAAAATATGGATGGTTTCTGAAGATCTTTTCCATCCCATGCTCTGACCTGCATTTTTAAACAGCAAGATTTCATTATTGAATAAGCAAGTTGAAGATGATTGACCATATAACAGAACTGAAAGACAACTAAAATTGTAGTTGAATATGCTTATATTTTCTTGTAGTGTTTTTAAATACCCTGATCTTGACATTCAATCCTTACTTATGTACTATTCAGAAATCACATAATCTCTCACTGATCTCCAATTTCTTTATCTGTCAAAGAAGGGAAGGGAATTAATAACCTTCAATCTCACTGACATCCTATAAAATGAGGGAACTGCATTTTCCATCCTGCAATTTCCCTGAGTTTTGTGAGGATCTGGAGAGATGATGAGGTATCTTTTAAAAATAGTAAGTTAGGGCCTCCCTGGTGGCACAAGGATTAAAGTCTCAATGCTATCAAGCTATTGCCAGCCAGACACTGCAGGCATGAGTTCGATCCCTGGCCAGGGAGCTAACCCACATGGCGCAGCAGACCTCTCCTGTCTCGCCCGCTGCTCCCTGAAGCAGTGTATTTCAGTAGATCTGCCTGTTCTGCTCCCCACTCTATCTCTAGTGAATCCTCTCACCCCTCATTTCTGGCCTACACCCCAGTTCTTATATGCATAAATAAATAAAATAAATCTTCAAAAATAGTGAATTATATACACATTTATTCATACATAAATATGCATCCACCTGAACTGGTTGGCAAGCCCTGTGGTAGTGCTTGGTTTACCTGACATAGCCTTCCTGCAGATTACTCTGTCAACTTTGGGAGACAAACAATGAACAAACTATAAGAATTCTATAGAATAAGTCTTTAAACGCCACCGAAAATAAGGGGGGGGGGGAAGCAACTATTCTGATTTTCCTTATTCATATCCCCTGAATCAAATAACAGAAATAAGTTCAGGTGTGCACAATAGCAGTTGAAGTTTTCATGAAATATCAAGCTTCATTCAATAATTGAGGATGAAAAGGTCATACCCAGTCTCTTGACCACTAATGTTCTCCTAGAAACACTCTGTACTATATATAAATATTTGTGTGGCTTCATTCATATATCTAAAAGTCATCATTGTTTCCATTTCAACACAAATCCCAAACTGTGAGATCCAAGAAGGTTGGCTTGTTATCTTTTTGTTTCCCGATGTATCCCCAACACCAAACATTGAAGAGCACATTTCTGGACTAACACCTTGAGTCCTCTAACTGAAAATCTGCACTATCACACTCGCTTTCTGTTTCTGTAGGGCTTTTATAATGAATAAGAGTGAAAGTAAGAAGCAGCACAAATAACCACATATTCATCAGTTCTTATTTCTAGTAGTGGCAAATTAAATACCTTTAGCTTATGCCTACATGGGTATAGAAAAATGAATGATAAACAATTGAGTATCTGTTAAATTCTGGTTTTAAGATGTGTGAATACTACTCTCACTGAAAACATTTGTGAATTTTTATTTGAGACCTGTAGAGACGTAGAAAATTTTTATCACCTCTTCTTTTTCTTTGGTGGCTGTGAGCCATACTTAGCTCTCATAGTTACTTGTTTGGCTTATGCCTATACTAACCTAGTGTTTCATCAAGGATCATGTGCTTGATGGCTCCTATGTATGTATGTTGCTTTGTTAATTGTGTGTTAATCAGGGAAATGTGAAGACACCTGTAATAATACGTTTTAGGTATTTGGTTGCACAGTTGCTGCAATTTTCCATTAAATGATGCATAGTAATTTAGCTCAACAGTAACTAAGTTGAACTCATTAATTAAAGAAATAAATATTGAGTATTTTATATCGCAGGCTTGGCACTAGCTTGGCTTCTCTCTCCTTTTCTTTTCAGTCTGGAACAAAATGTATTATTATCTCATTTTATTGATAGGTGACCTGAGGTTCTGAGAGGTTAAGTAACTTGCCTCAGAATAGTAGCACCTGGATTTAAGTGTCCGTGCTTCCCACTAAGAAACATCGTGCTGGGCCTCCCCTGGTGGCGCAGCAGTTGAGCGCTGGGCTGCAAAGCTGCCGCAGCCTCTACAGCGCCGGTTCTATTCCCAGCCGCTGGGCGAAGGTCCCACATGGCCGCGCAGACCTCTCCTGCCGCCCGCTGCTCCCCTCAGCAGTGTACTTCGGTCCTTCTGCCTGTTCTGCTCCCCGCTCTGGCTCTGGTGAATTCTCTCACCCTCCCGCTCTTCTGACTGTACCCACTGCTTGTATAAATAAATAAATAAATCTTTAAAAAAAGAGAGAGAAAAGAAAAGAAACATCGTGCTTCATTTTATGTTATGAAGATTTAGTGATTTTAACCTTTTATTTCAAAGTTCCAGATATCTTTTCTCTTTTTTGTTATGCTTGAGATATACAAAGAGAGGAATATATGGAGGAAAATTAGGTAAAAAGAAAGAACTACAATTTTTTTTTATGTTTTATTCTATATAAATACAAGTTAATATCAAAATGCCTACCTACTTTGAAAAATAAAATATGTTTTTGTTAAAGAAAATCAATGAAAACTACATTAAAGTCTGTTTCATTTAATTGAAGCTTTTTGAATTATGACAAAATCAAGAGGTTTTCATAAAGCATTAGCATGCCAAGAAAATGTGTTTAGTTAGATTATAAATGGAGTAAAGTAAGCACAGTTTCATATAAGGAAAATAGCACCTTCAAACTGAAATTCTTTCAACCTTGAGTGTTAGAAATTATTTTTGACTTATTCAAGATATCACATTATCTTCTTTAATTCTCACAGCTTTGTCAAAATAGCACTAGATTAAGACGAAGTGCCAACCTATACTTTGGAATATAAATGACTGTGGGTTTTCTTAATCATCATAATTCGAGACTCTTACTATATTTGTTTTATCATAAGATTTGTTTTGATAGCTACTTATTTGTTCATGCAACAAATACTAAGGGTAACTAATATACTTACATCAGGCACTGTTCTAGGCATTGAGCTATTTATTGTAATGAACAAAGAAAGGCCTTGTTTTTACTTGGCTTTTATTCTCACGGGGAGAGAAAGGAAAGACAAAACAAAGTAATAAGACAGAAGTTAATTAATGACTATACAAAAAATTGAATAATTTGGTGATTAAATTGCTCCTAGAATAATGCCAGGATTATCAAAGACAGAAATAGGGAGAAAAGCATTAAGAGGAGCAAAAGAACCAAGCCAGGGATGGGAGAGCAGATATGGTGCATATTTGAGTAAAACAAAACAAATCTAAAAAGGACCATTGAAAGTCAGGTTGTGAAAGATAGAATAATAAACAAAAATGTAAGGAATCTTTCATGAGTTACTTTGTGCCATCACACAGTGAAATGTACAAATACACTCTGGGTTAAGAAAAAATTGTAGTGTCTACATTAAAAAATACATCAGAATGAAATCAAGAGTTATTAATTCAGTGTCAGATGTTAGAAAATTAAAGATGAAATAAAATATATAAAGTCAATTATAACTAATTTTCATCTATTTTAAAAGAAGTAAAAAAGAACTGTGAGAAAAGGAAACATGAAATCTGAATAATTATTCTTCAGTTGTAGAGTCTTATTTGCATTATTTTAAGCAAATCATAAGTATAATAATTACTTTTTACTCTAATTCTACCATAAGCAATAGCATATACAGTAAGTGCAAAGTCTGGTTCTAGGGTATTTTAATTATGCCTATTTTACTCATAGAATATAAAATGATGTTTTGTTTCATTGTAAAATGAACATTTTTTTTTTGTTTTCACAGTTGGGAGTTATGATTGATCTTTTATAATGAAATCTAAATTTAAAGCTTTGATTCCCTTCCTTTTTTTTAATGCATCCCAACCTCGTATTTCCACCATTGGGAAATCTAAGAAGTACAAAAGGGTAAGATGAAATGATTTTAAAAAGCAGTATTGGACTCATTTCTTTCTCACATCTACATAGGAGATATTTCCAAACTTCTAGAACCCACAACACTTAATATTTTTTAAAAAAATTCTCTTGCTTTGTTAAAAAATATCTAACATTACATCTTAAATTTTTTTAGTGTATTTAATATGGAGTTCAAAATTATTATTTTATCCACCTAATTTTTGTACATCTGCTGTCTGCCAGGTACTTTTCTATGCATGGAAAGATTCAGTGGTAAACATGGAAAAAATTCTTTGAAGAAATTAATCTGTATGAAGGGTGACAGGTAAGTTACAAATACACAGTAAATAATCTAAAAATCTGAGGTAGTGGTAAACACCACACAGTGATATGCTGCAACCTGTTCAGATGTAATGATGAGCATTTTGTT